GAGTGAGTGCAGGCGCAGGCTGCTTCAGCAGTGTGTGGTATGGTCTTTTCTTTATTCGCCTATGCTTTCTTGGCATGAGCTAGATATGTAAATAGGTGGGTCGATAAACAAAGAAAAAGATAGATAGATAGACCCTAAACCCTAAACNNGATAGATGGATAGATGGATAGATAGACAGACAGATAGATAGATAGGTAGATAGACAGACAGATAGATAGATAGGTAGATAGATAGATCGCTGGACTAAGCGGCGGTGGAGTCTCGGCGCCCGCCACCCCAAGTACATACCAGAGAGCCCTACCCCCTAAAGCCCTATCAGCATCCTTTCAAGGCTCCATGAAACCGTAGAGTAAATACGTAGGCCTTAAAGGGGTTCACATCTAGGTACTTTCAGGCCAAAGTATGTGGGTAGTTCTTTGAGTCAGGATTCCTTTTCAGGTCTCCAAACTAGTGTGGCACCCTTATCGAAAGGACCTTAAGAGGATCGGGTTTTGGGTTTTGGGTTTAGGGATAAGCTCTAACCCATAACTTCCCACCTAGCTGCTCAGAACTCCCAAACCTGAAACCCTAATTAAACAAACCCATAACCCTAAACCCTAAACCCTAAACCCTAAACCCTAAACCCTAAACCCTAAACCTCAACCCCAAACTCTGCAGGGCAGGAAGGCCCCAACGTGCACCTCGCCGCTTGCCTGGCGCGGCACATTCGCCCAAAGTTCTTCGAGCGGAACCTCCAATCTGAAGCTTCGGTGGGCAGTTAGGTTTCAGGGTTCAGGGTTTTAGTGTTTAGGGTTTCAGGGTTTAGGGTTTAGGGTTCAGGGTTCAGGGTTTTAGGGTTTTAGGGTTGAGGGCTCAGGGTTGTAAGGTTTAGGGTTTAGGGTTTAGGGTTTAGGGTTTAGGGTTTAAGGTTTAGGGCTCAGGGTTGTAGGGTTTAGGATTCAGGGTTTTGCTGCCGATCTCCGTTCTCGGTCAGAAGCCGCTTGGGCATGTATGTTTGAAACTCTATTTCGGCTTCGGAGTACGCTAGCGAGCCTCGGAAGTGGGGCCCTGTACAGGCTGCTTCAGTGTTTAATTCCCCTCCCGCGACACGAGGGTGACGCCCACCCTAACTTCGGCGCGTGAGAAGAGAGAGTGTTTGAAACAGTGTCAGCACGCGCCAGTATGACATGGCTCCAACCACGACATACCCAGTCCGGAGGCACCTGCCTCGGCGGAGCTCGCGGTCCTACAAGATCCAGGCCCGCTAACTGCTCGACTTATGTTGTAAAAGCGCCAGAGTGAGAGGTAACGGGACGGAGACGGGCGAAAGCATGCGGCCCAGCTTCGAGGCCGACATAAACCTCCTGATGCGGAACTAACTGGACTTTCGAGCAGGAGGAGGTGCGCGAGGCACGCAAAAACAAGGAAGCTCGGAACTTAGCCGAAGCTCTCCGAACTCTAGGCGGAGGACGAGCTGCTTTCCAGTACGTTAAATAAGTAAATAAATATGAATATGAATATAAATATAAATAAATAAATAAATATAAATATATATATATATAACATATATGTTCGTGTCTGCGCCGCTATGCCGAGCTATGACTGAATCTTGGACTTTCAGGAGAAGGCCATGTCCCGACCTGTGGCAAGAGAGGTGCTGGGAGGTTTAAAAATCCAAGTGCAGAGAGCACTTGCCGCCTAGTCGCCAGGTCGGAGCCCCCGCCCGAAGCACGCCGCCATTGAAACGTCCAGGATCGGGTCCTTACGTCAGGATTGAGCTGGCCGCAACTCCGGCAAGAGGCCCGCGCCGGAGCCCAGAGCCCAGCGCGCAACAATATGTACTACAACTTGCAATTTCTGAGGCCAGTTTAACCTCATCACGTGTGGCCTGAACGCTGCAGAGCTGCGCGAAAGCTCCATCACGGACCTCTTCGTAACGGTGGTCCGAGTCTCTCGTGCCGCCAGAGCTTGTTTGGAGCAGCAGGCCTAGCACGAGCACCCGAGGCCAATGCCTTGGAAGTTTTACGTGAGGCTTTGGAACCCTTTATGGGCATGCTCCGGCCCTTCCTGGTCATGCTCATGGAGCAGTTCAAGGCCGAGACCGGCAGGCGCCAGTCCCGGACACCCAGGCTACGACCTGCGCAGGTGGGGTCCCACTCCAGAAAAGACAAGCCCGCAGACCCCCCGCGCGACAAGAATGCTTTGAAAAACCTAAGGAGCAAAGCAAAGAAGACTGCTCGGGAGGCGAAGCAGAAACGGGGTTTAGCGTGTAGGGTATAGGGTATATTTAGGGTTTAGGGTTCGGGGTTTAGGGTTTGGGGTTTGGCGTTTCACTGAGGTTCCTTTAAGGCTTCCTGTGAATAGGATCCATGCGGGCTTTTGATTTAGAGATTTGTGGTGAGGAGTTTGGGGTGTGGGGTTTAGAGGAGTAGGGCTGGAGCATAGAAATTAGAGGAATAGGGTTGCGAAGTAGGGTTATGATTGGGGTATCTCCATTTAGGGTACCTATGACTCTACTTGCAACGTGCTTACAAAGTCCCCTGCGCCTCTAAGTCGTAAACCCTAAGCCCTAAACCTAAAACCCCTTCTACATTTCTGAGGAAATTTCCGTGCACATCCTCCACGCGGCATGCGCCTGCGGGGTGGCAGCGACCTTTTCCTCGCCTTGGGGGCTGCAGAGTTTAGGGGGTTTAGAGCGGCATAAGGGTAGGGGTTGTCGGGCGGCATAAGGGTCTGGGGAGGTTTAGGATTACAGGGTTTCGGGGTTTTAAGGTTTTAAGGTTTTCCTGGGTTTAGGGGCTTCGAGGTTAGGGTTTAGGGTCTTAAGGTTTTGGAGTTTTGGGCTTTAGGGGGTTTCACGTAGGGGCCTAAATAGTTACCAATACTGTTCCTGAGGATGCCTTTTTCTACCTTTACTATGTTTTTTCCCCAAGCTAAGCACAACTTATTAATTATCAAGGCCATGTAAGGCGCTTACATAATTTAGGATGTGAAGTACAACGTTTCGAGCGCTTTGGCTCTGGGGTCGGGTGTTGAAATTAAAAAATGAGCTTTAAGATTTTAGGGGCTGCGGCTTTAAGGTGGTTGCAGTATGAGTTTTTGTTTGGACTTTTTTGGCAGCAGTTGTTCTTTACTTTGCTGGTTCATTTGCCTTGTTGGGAGGCCCTGCTTTAATGTAGGGTTTGTTGAAAGGAATGCAGACCACAATCCCCGCGGGGGTTTGGTTGTGTGGCTGTTTGCAGGAGAATGCTTGGAGGTTCAAGGGTAGTTATAAGTGAGGTTATAAGTCCCCTAGTTTGGGCTATAAGTATATTTACCCTACTTATGACTCCATTTAAAAGTACCCATACCCTAAACCCTAAACCCTCAACCCTAAACCCTATTTATACTCCCATTTATAATTACCCATGAACCCCCAAGTAGGCAGGCCCCCGAATACTTAGCCGGGTGTGTCAGACCTTGGGATAAGCTTAATGCAGATCTCAAGGCGGCATCTCGCGCAGATGCTGCCAGCCTATGGGGGGCGGGGGGGGGGGGGGGGGGGTTGGGTACCCAGCCTAAAGCTCGACGGTGTGGAATTTTGGGATAGTATAGGGGTTTGAAGGTCGGGGTCTGGGTTTCTAGGGTTTTAAAGTTCATGTGAAGGGGTTCTGGGTTGAACATAGTCTATGAGTTTCTATGCAGGGCTGCGTAGCGATTCAGACGGGGTGCTATAGGGTGCCTACAGCGATTTCGAATCAGGGGATGTACTAAGTAGGGTTTAGGGTTTAGGTAGGGCTGTATAACTGGAGTTTGAAGTGCCTTAATTGAGCCTGTGCTGATTGCAGCCGTAATTACAACCCACTGTACTCATCAGGTCCCTCAAGCCTTCAAGCACACTCAAGCTGTAAAGCTAGACAGCTGTAGGGTTTAGAGTTTGGTGTTGAGCTTTTGGGTTATAGGGTTCGGGAAATGGGTGTTGCGGCTTGGGTATCGGGCTTAAGTTAGGGCCCCGAGACCACAGCAGCATAACGGTCTTGCAAATAAGACTATGGGAAACCTGGTTCTGAAATCTTTGATGCCAGTGAGCGATCTTTGTGTTTATGCGGCTTCTTCCTAATCCTTTTGTAGACCCAACCAAAATACTCCCCCCGAGCACGAGACCGGGCCGTGGCCACGCAGTTCCAAAACTGTTAGGGTTAGGATTTAGGGTTTTGCATGAAAGCTCCGACAATTGAATCTTGCAGTAGTTCCGGCAATCTAAACTATTGAGACCGAGTTTGTTGTATGGGACGTACAAACCGAATGATGAGCTACGTCGATTGTACTATGCACGCGTGGTTAATCCAGCATCCAGAAATACGTGCGCTCTTTAGGCAGGATTTTGTAGCAGCCCCCGAAAGCCGCTAAGCCCTGTCGGTGTCAACGTTTAAAGCTCTGCCTAGGTGGAGTCTGGCCCGCAAGGCTTAAACACTTTGTTCCACACCTTGAGCCGACGGAGAGTTAACTAGCATGATTCGATGTAGTCGTTGTTGTCTTACCATTCCTACTCCATGTTGCCGTCAGTATGGATGAGCTGGGCGCAGAGTTGGCCCAAAAAGAGCCAGGCGAAGCTGCCCGATTTTGTCGAGCTCACAGCATTCGCTATGCTCAGGTTGGGAGCTTCCGAAACTGCTGCGAGTTCTGCGATCTGAAGTAAAAGAGCAGAAAAGGGCCGGCAGCATCAGCGTTTCCGTTCAGGTAGCACATACTATACACATGCGCAGAACCCTTCAGGAGAACACACTGCAAACAGTTCTTTGATGTGGTCTTCTACAATATTCTTGGCTGCTGCTGTTTGCGAACGAGGTGAACTCGTGTGTACAGGAATCTTTCAGTGCAACTATTCAAACGACTGGGAAGCAAATGCATTTGTTTTTGTTGGCACGTCTTCCCCAAAATTTCGCTTCTGTTAGGCTGCTGAAAGGAATCTCGGGACAGACACGGGCAACATGGCGTTGTAAGCAGCAGGTTTTTTGTTCCATTTTTCACGATCTTGAACGATGTCGGCATTTTCCACAAGGTTGCCTTTGCTGAAATGGCTCGGGGTGTAGGTTTACGAGGCCAAAGCCCGGAGAGCGAAGCCCTGATTCCAAGGCCTTTGGGTGGCGTGCTCCTGTCCTTGGAGCTGATGCTGCCACAGATCTACACATTTCAGGCACGCTTGGAACACGGGTTCAGGGTGCATTACGGCTGCGAAGTTTCTGCAGTGTCAAGGTGTCGGGGTACTCAGCACTCGGGTCTTGTTATTTCAGTTCAAGACATAGAAACCCTCGACCCCCGAAGCTTTGCAAGCCATCAAAGGACCAAATTCGGCAGACATCAAATCAGCAAAGCTGTATTTCGTTGCAAACCGTAAGCCCACAAAATCTTTCGAAGCCCACGCGCTGCGTAATCTCTACGCTCGGACCTTATCCCGACCCTCGACATCCCCAAGCACCCAAGCCCTCGAAGCTCACAATCTCGCAAGACCGGAGAGCGAGGGCTCTTTCCTCCAGTCACCGCATTCGTGACGATCTGTTTGTCGGCTTCAAGAAGCCCCAAGCTCGAATTTGCAAGGTTAAGCCGTAGTCCTTCAAGGCCCTAAACTTTACACGACCAGCTCCGATTTTTCAAGGCCTTGGTCACTTGAAGGCTTAGGAGGCCAGGAGGTTGGCTTGAGTCCCCCGATCTTAAGCCCAACTACAGACTTTTTAGAACCCTATGTAGATCCCTTCATAGGGTTAGGGTTTAGGATAGCCCTTACGAAGCCCGATGGCATCCGATGGAACCGTTTGAAAAAATCCTACAAGACCACTGAGCATGACAGGTCCTTAAATCCTAAAACCTACGCCTCTGGTCTTAAATCCTCAACCCTAACAGGTGTATTGGGGATGCTTTGTTGCCGCCTTCTGTGGGGCCGTGTCAACGCGGCCAGTCGCGTGGGTCTTGGGGAGGTGTTCAGGGGTTCGGTTTTGAGCACGCTTTTTCAAGTCTTACGGTCGTGATTGGATCTTTCAAGACTCGGGTTAAATTTCCGACACCCAAGAAGCTGAGGGTGCAGAGGTTTGAAAAATTCAGGGGTTACAAGCTTTCCGAGTCGGAATGTCAGGTTCAAAGTTTAGGGTTAAGGGTTCAGCGTATGTGCAGGACTCCTCGTAGGTTACGCTATGTCTGCAACTGTTTGCGATTTGCTCTTGGAGTTTGCAGGTTCGCGGTGCTCATACTGTAGGGTCTCGGATTTTGTGCGCTTTTGTTGGGCGATCATGGCTCAGGGTCCTAAACCCTAAACCCTCAATCCTAAACCCTAAACCCTTAAGCCCTAAACCTTCAACCGTTGAAGATTGCATCGGGTGCCAGTCCGTTGGTTTGAACTTCAGTCCGCAGATCCTACGGTCCCCCGCTAGATGATCCTAGCTCTTAGCGATCTCATTCATCAGGTTCTAGCTGAGGTTAAGGGTTCAGTCCGGTTTACTTTGTGACCGTTTGGGGATTTTTGTTTTTGTGGTTTGGTGGTGTTTATAATCATAACAATAATAAAAATATAATAACAGTACTAATAATAATTCACAAGGTTTAGTGTTTGGGTTCGTATACGTGTGACTTTTCTAAGATTCAAACGGATTCAAAACTGTAAACCATACATACTCCCTAAACCCGAAGCCCTAAACCCTAAACCCTAAACCCTAAACCAAACCTTAAGAGAGTACCTCCCCTTTCAGGTAACTTCGCAAGTTATAATTTCCTTTAAAATAGACCCTAGACCCGAAACACCAAACACTAGATCCGATAAGCCCTAGGCCCCAAGCCATAAACCCTAAGCCCCAAACAAAAACATAAGTTCTAACATAGAACTGATAGGGGTCCCACACCAATCTACGGATATGGTCGAAAATCCCAAGCCACCTCAGCCCTAAGGCCCTAAACCCCAA